TAGCTGCTCAAATGAGCCTCACTGCCTCCCACAGCGGGAACTCAACCAACTCCTCCATAACACCCCATCATCTGAAGGAGGAATGATTTCAAGAAAAAAATTCACCCCACATCCAAGCAACACTTTCACAGCCCTGGCTTTCTGGCAAACAGAATCACACAGCAGCCAAATTGCATTTCCTACCAGACCACCGCCGACAACAGCGACTCTTTTCCCCTGTGGGTCACTGGGCTCCATTGCTGGAGCAGCCCCCACGTCACAGGTTCTTGCTGCTGCGTCCCACTCCCTGTCCTGCTGTGCTGCCCTCAGCAGTGGGGAGGGGAAGGGAAAGGACATGGGTGGCTGAGTCATGCCTGGGTTATTCTCCCCTGGTTCATATTAAAGTTTAACTCCCAACCCAGAGACTGTCGGTGAATCAGCCTGGCCGTGTGCCCAGCCACACTGAGCCTCAGGTGAAGAGACATGAATGTGGCATTATTCAGTCAGGCCTTATTAAAAGGCCTCTTCTGAAAATTGTAAAGCAATTCTGCAGCCTTCAAGGGCCTCCTAATGAAACGCGCACATAGCAGGAGAACTTGCATTTTCTGGGCTTTTACTGGTGCTTTGCTGGGCTGCAGCTGCAGAGGCACAGGTGGGACAATGCAGAGTAACTCCCGGAGAACTCTCCTGAGGGTGGGATGTGAATCACACTGCTTGCCCAGGGGCCTGATCCCATCTGCAAGGACACTTTTTGCCTAAGGAAGCTGTGTGTGGCTCAAGTGTTTTGGGGTGTGATGCTTAGGTCCATGCCTAATCTGCAGAAGCTTTCCAGGACTTGGATGAGGCTGTGAGGAGACATCCCTGCATGCACTGTTTCACATGCATGTCCTTGGCAGGAAGTGCTCTGCTGAGCCAATCCTGTACACAGTAAGCTTTTAAAAGGGAAGAGCCTATTACAGCCTACACAAAATAACTAAACAGCAGACAGTGAAAATGCACACATTAACATACACTATTTACCATTTATTACTAAACCTGCAACACACAGCCCAGAACAGCAGATTTGTCTCAAAGGAGCAAGACCAAATCCCTGCACAAGCACAGCACCATTCTCCATTGCACGCCCTGGTTCCCAGTTCAAGCAAGGGCCAGCTGCTCCTGAGGGGACAGGGAGCAAGCGCCATGCCACGCCACAGTCCCAACCTGCTGTACCGTGCAAGGAGAGGACAAGCAGGGCAGGGTCAACAGGACCCACAAGCAGCCTCAGGCCCAAGCTTAAATGTGACTGCCGGTCTTGGGGAGTGCACAAGGTCCTAGGTGGGGCTGGTTGGCATTGTTAAAGCCTGTTAGTGTCCACAGGCCCTGGCACTGTGTCTGAAGGAGTTGCCACTGAAAACCCTCCACGGGGTTTCTCTGAACTATGCAGCAGTGAATTGATCCATGGTATCTGACTGACTGACACACACAGAGCAAAGAAAACAGAAAAGAGAGGACAAAGAGCAAGGTAAGATTTACATAGTAAATACATTATCCATTAATTATTTTCAGACCACAGACAGCACACCATTAGCTTCCATCAGCCACAGTTATTATTTGGTAACACCATTCACAGCACCCTTTGCATACTTGTCTGGTAGGCTTTACAGATTACTCCACCATCCTGGCTCACCAAGTTGATAGCAGCACTTTATGGTACGTCAGTTAATTCATGAGCTCCTGTAGATAACACAGCATATAATTGTGTAGCTAAAGCTGGTCTCATAAGACTTCTTTCTGCACAAACAGCCTCAGCCACAGTCTGTGTACCTGCTCCAGAGGCAGGAGGCACAAACATGCAGGAAAGCACTCAACCCATCAGTGAGCAGAGCTATGTAATACGGTAAACAGACCAGTTTCAAAGGTTTTTTTCTTCCAAAATGATATACATCAGCTTCTCACTGCTAAACGTATCTCCTCAGCTACTGACAATAGTTCTTGGCAAACCAGACTAAACTTTGCCTGTCAGGGACTACCTATGCCCAGTGCAACATCCTTCCTTCTAGGTAACCATTCCAAAGTTTAGGTCCCTGGGTTATCTTCATCAGATTCACTCACAAACTGCACCAGGCAAAAACAGTGTAAAGATGTTCTCCACTTCAAAAACAGGAGAAGGTGGGAAGACATTGAGAAAGTGCTAACAATTCATTGTTTATCTTTCTGTATTAAGCACAACCAGGCTGCTGAGAACATGAAAAAGCATCGCTTGATGAAAATGCTGAGTGACCTTTCCAAGGAGTCCTAAATGAAAACAAAAAGAACAGGATAGCATGGGCTTGGATTAAAGCCTGCCCTCTGGAAATTAGTGGGAAAAGTAAAGAGAGGAGAAGTGTTTAATTTATGCTGCTGAAGAAAAAGTCATGCCAATATCCAAGAAATAACCTTAGGATTTTACTTTTTTTTTTTTTTTTAATCAAGTCTAAACCCTATGATATGAGGGAGAGGCTGAGAAATAATGAAACAAATATACACAATTCCAGGCTGCTTAAATCACCCTCCAGTAGCTCTCTGAGAAGAAAACCATGGGTAGCTTTGTAAATGTGAGATTTGGGAGACACTGAGAGTTAGAGCCCTCCTGGGGCAGAAAATATGGACGGTGATTAGCTGGGGGTAAGCATTGCACTTCAACATTCAAACCCGATGACTGCAGGAGCAGATTTTCTTTCTGTTCTTCTCCACTGAGAATCATTTATCCAAACAGTGCATAAAGCCAATTGACACAGGTAGGGCAAAGTGCTGGTCTTCAGGAAAACCCAGTGCCAGGATTTAGCTCTGCTGTGCAAGTAAGTTGCATTTCATAGAATCATAGAATTGTTTAGGTTGGAAAAGACCTTTAAGATCATCATGTCCAACTGTTAACCTAGCACTGCCAAGTCCACCACTAAACCATATCCCTAAGTACCACATCTAGATGTCCTGCTCACCTTTAGTTCCACAGATAGGTAATTACTGTAGGATAAGTATATCTGTGAGGGAGTAAAACCAAAAATGTGGAGGGATGAACACTTCAGGCTGATGAGGTTTGGCAACCAAACCCTCATTCAGGCACCCTGGGTTAGTTTGCATTATCCTCCCCAGGAGGGCAGCATCTGCCTTTGCATGGGGCATTTCCTCAAGTTGCACATGAAGGGGACTCTCAGCCCTGGAACTGGACCATGCTTATTTGCAAGGGCTCAGATAACACTGGCATTAAGATTATTTCATGCCCAGGAGCTGCTGTGGGCTGCCAAGCCTGCAAGGCATTTTGGGATAGGTTTTCTTGATTTTGTGAAGAGACAGCAAAAAAAGTGGCTATTGCTTGTGGCTGGTCTGGGCTTGGAAGATGAGAGGAAACAACTGAACTAGCAGAAACAGGTGAGCAGACCACAGGTGCATGGTACGTTTGTTCTGAACATCTGCAGTCTTTCTCCCACTCACTTCTTGTATCAAAAATGTGCAGTCATACAGACATTAGGCTGCTAATCAGACAGATTCTTGAGGAGCTGTTCAAATACAGGTTGACCTCAGCAATGCTATGGTCCACTTGCAGAGGAACATGTACTGTCAATGTGTAGGCCACCTGTAACAAGAGAAATGGCTTTATTGTGTTTGGTAATAGCCAACAGTACATGTTTGCTGCAGCTGCAAAAGGACAGTGTAGATGTGTTAGATCTTATAATTTGTGGTGGAAGGTAGCTCAAGAAGAGGGAGAAGGCAGCTTAAAAGCCATGACAAGGTCTTCCTTTGCTGATTTCTGCAAACAGCTAATTGCACTGATTCTGGAAGGAGCCAAGAGATCTTTACTAGTACAGAGTACAAACCCATGTAAAAGTGAAAGGCATAGAAATGTTTATCCCTTATAATCCCATTAGGTAAAATAATCTGCTCAGGAATTCAAATCCAATGCTAAAGAGGGCCATACAGATACCCCTGCCAGCAGGTTGCCCACGTCTGAGGATGCAGCTGCATCTTGTCCTTCTGTTCACTAAGGCTTTGAAAGAGCCATAGCACAGATATGAAAGCAGTTCTGACTGATACAACAGTGGGTCCCCATCCTGAACTCCCCAGCCACCCCACCACCCTTTAGCAATGTGCATTCCTTCACCAGCCTCAGCATGTAAGAATGTTCTAGCACTGCTGCTTCCACACCTGCTTTCTTGCTGTCCCCTCCTGATGTACTCAGCAAGACCACTGCTCGCTCTTGGCTCAGATCCTTGCCCAAGGCCCCTCCTGCCACCAGCATTCGCACAAGCAGACTAGTTCAAACACTAGTCTTGGTGTGATCTAATCACACCTAGAAAGCTGATGAAGAGCTCAGAGATAGGGAAAGCACAAGCCAGTGAGCCCCTGGAAGAGCTGGCTGCTGACCTCTGCTAAGGGCTCGAGGGCTTTACAGACCTGGGGGCAGCCTGGGGAGAAGTCCATCCATTTCTGCACTTGAAAAAACACTCCAGCTGCAAGCACAGGCTCATTGCAAAAGCTCAGCTTTATTTCTGAGTACTCCCCTCTGTACCATTTATCTTAGAGAGTGGTGGTAGGTTTTTTTCCAGGAATTTCTGATTAGCAAATGTCTCAGGAGTGTTTTAGGACTGTATATCCTACTGGGAACCTTAGCGTGAATGTAAAACACATGCAGCCCTTATTTAGCAGGTGTCTGCTGGGTTCACAGGGAGACCCAAAACCCAGGGTAACAACTACTGCAGAGCAGAACCATGCAGCATTGCTGGGAGGTGGCTCTGTGTGGCAGGGACACAGCTTGGTATCATCTGCAGACCTTTTCTGATCCTCATGTTTATTCCATGGTAAGCAAGGGTTAATTACTCAAGTTATAAGATTGAGTGTATCAAATCATCAGTTAACCCGCCTCAGTCCCATTGTTGTGTTAAAGACAATATTCAGGACTGGCCTTAGTGATGAACCACAAAGGCATGGGATTGTCTGATCTTGCCTACACCACCTGAGCAGGAAGGGTGGGCTAAAAGTTTATGTTGTGGTTGTCTGTTTACTTACGTAGGCAGGGCAGGGAGCATGCTGCCAGTCCAGTGATGTGCCGTGGATGTAGACGGGAAGCCCCCATGGGGCACTGGGAACACCCCTGTGGGAGGGTAGTGGTGGTGGTGGTGCACCGCAGACGGCCTGGGCCTGTCTGCTTTCACAGCCAGGGGAGCAGCAAACTGCAGGTCCTTGTTGGAGAGAGACAAAGAGCAATTTGTGAAATTTGTGCCCCTACGGGAAGGGTCCTTGGCTGAGGGGCTGGGTTTCCACTTGGCCACCCCTTGGTAAAAGAAGTCCTTCAGCATGTGTCTGGAGTTGAGTTTTGCAGGCTCCAACTCAGAAGGTCCAGCAAACACTCAGTGATTTTGGATTTCACCTGAGAGGCACTCAGACCCCACTGCCCCCAGTTTATCTCACCAGTCTACATCAGAGAAATGCATGGTGACAGGATGGCCTGGGGAAGAAGATGGGGACCAGGGGGATGCGCACTCTTCCTCTGTCATCTTCCCTTAGATGCGGGGTCCTCCACAGAAAGCTGCAGATGAGTCTGCTGGTTCTCCCAGCACCACTTGTCTGCCCCAAGTATCTCCCTCACAGCAAGGGGGAAAGAGGATTCAAAATCAGAAACCGCGAA